TCCCAACCATTTGGATAAATTCAGAGGTCTGAGCAGGGGACACTGAAAACATGTTGGAGTTGAAGACAGACAAGGTGGCTATAGTCTCAATTAGAGCTCTAACTACTTCATCCTCAATTTTTATATCTAATTACCAGTAAGAGGTCTCAAATGAAAAGGAATGGGTATAGATTTAGGGACTGTCATAGGTTGGTTGGCTATCCCAACCATTTGGATAAATTCAGAGGTCTGAGCAGGGGACACTGAAAACATGTTGGAGTTGAAGACAGACAAGGTGGCTATAGTGTCAATTAGAGCTCTAATTACTTCATCTGCAATTTTTATATCTAATTCTCCTAATTGTGTGTGTGTGTGTGTGTGTGTGTTTTAAGTAGAGGAAATGTTCCCAGAGCATTCCTAGCCCTGCTCAGACAAAGAGGGTTGGGAAATGTTATCAGGGTTTAGTTGCAGTTATCATATGTTTTTGAGACAGTCTCCTTTAAAATTTCCAGGGCATTTATAGAAAAAGCAAATTTTCTGATTTTGATTTTGGGGCTGGTATTCTAGGGCATTTCTTTTTAATTGTTGGAGTTGGACTATCATAAGCTTAGAGGTCTCTTCCCTGATAATCCAGGGCTCATGTAGCCCTAGGTTTCCTGTCTTTCTCTAAAGTCTTAGATAGCTGGTTAGCCAAACAGGCTATCTCATGGGGTCATCTTTCAGCCCAGTGAAGGTCATTTTGTTTTATTAAGGGCTTCAGAAAGACCAACCACAAATATGAAATTGAATAGATTGAGAGTTTCATCATTTAAATTTTTTATTCCCAAATTTTTTGGAAAGTCTGTTCGAATCTGTCAAAATAGTCAAGAATAGGTTCATCTTTTTTTCTGTATACAACAGTGTATGGCTTTCCAACAGACTTGGCGAGGAAAAATTTAGGGAATAACTCTTAATAACTTAGCGGCCTGGTTGTTATGCCTTCTCAGAGCCCTGCAAACCAGTTCATTTGAAATCCTCCAGAGGTTCATTTCAATTGGCAGCCAACATCCATTCCTGGGCTAAACATCTCCTACAAGCATGTGAATAAGTTGATAAAGATAAAAAATCTGGGCTTATAGGCATGATAATTAGGTTGAAATGCCATTCAAATTCAAGAGAATTAATCATAGGATCAGAGAAGTCCTTTACTAGGGCCAAAAGTTTGGAATTAGTCCATGAGGCCTAAGAAATCTGGTGGTCTACCATCAACTGATTCAACCTTAAAAAGAGCTATTAAGGAAGGGGAAGGGAAGTCTGGTGTATTAAGAGAAGCAGGAAATAACAGGAGGGAGAAAAAAGGAAGTTCGGAAAGAGCAGAAAAGGGAGGAAAAAGTGGGGCGTGTGGTGGGAGTGGTAGAAGAGGTGCAGAGGGTAGTTTTTCTTGAGGTTTGTTAGTAGGTCTAGCTTCAGAATTGCATGCGTAAAATTTAGAGGAAGAATTTCCCAATGGTTCCTCTTAACTTCAAGGTGTTTATTCAATTTAGGATTATATTCTTTAATAGAGGCTATCAATAACACCTCTTGATTTTGTTTAGAGCTCTCCACTGTCTTTGGGAGGTTCCAATTGTGCATGTAAATAAGCAAGTTTTGAAATTCCAGAAGAGCCCCATCTGGTCCAGCAAAGTTCAAGATCATCCTGGGTGATATTTGTCTTAAGACTCAGCAAGTTACAACTTTCTGAGCCATAGGTCTTGTGCATAAAGAAGGAGCTTAGAATATAGGCTGTCCATTTGCATTCACTTAATGAAGGTGTCCGTTCATCTCTTTGAAGGCACCTTAACTGTGACTCTCCCTATAAAACCTTATGGACTGGGTCAGAAAAACTGTATGGATCAAATCTGAGCCTTATGAATGAGATCCAAAGAGCTTTGTAGACCAAGTGCAAATCAAATGTTATAAAGAGTCCCTGCCCTGAAGTGAACAGAGTCTCTGAGATCTCAACCAAAAATGTGGGAAATCTGGAATTGAGAGGCCACTTACCCAGCACTGCCAGAGAAATGACTGTGTGCAAAGGGCTCTTCTGGTACTGGGGTATTGATTCCGAGATGGCGTTAGAAGGAGAGTAAGGGTGCCGCTTCAGATCCCACTGCTGCCACCAAAATGTAAACAAATCCAAAAGGCATTGGAGCAAAAAAAAGGAGACACTTTATTCAGGCAAATAGTTTGCAAATTGGGGAGACAGGCTCCAGTAAACACCCAAAGTGTGTGCTCCCCCAAGTCAAAGGGGAGGCCATTCTTTATACTGAAAATTCCCACTCACTTTCCTAATTAGATGTTTTATGTAAATGAGGTATCTAAATTTGCACAGTTCTGATTGGTCCTACTCACGCAGTTCTGATTGGTCAGGGGAGATCTCTGTTTCTTGGCTGAAAGGCGAAACCAGGTACTCCTTTATAATAGTTGACTTTGATGGTATAAACAAGGGCAGAGTGCAAGAAACGGAGAAATTCGGAGAGTCTTCCTAGTATACAGAGTATATGAGAAGCCGCTGCTGCCAGCAGATGAACTCTAGACTCTTGCTATTTGTAAAATCTGGGCCCTTGGTTGACCACGGGGAGTCTATCTCGGCAGGTAAATTCTCTTTTGGGGTTTACATCAAATGAATCTCTCTTCCTGGGGTGTATTAATATCTTGATAAAACTGTTTTTAAAATCTCTATAAACTCATATGGACAAAGATGGTCACACAAAGTGAAAAAAGCTAGATGTACAACGGTGTGTATAAAAATAGATGCCTAAAGTGATTCTTTCTCTATGGATAGCCAAGTAACAGCAAACAGTGGTAGTTTGTGAGGTAGTCTGGAAGATCTGGTATGGGAGGGAATTTTTCTTTGTAGCCAAAATATAGCATGATAAGTTTTTTTCTTAACGTGTACACATATTACTTTTTAAATTTAAAAATAAACTTAAAACTAAAAAAGAAAATACATACATGCACATGCATGCTTGTCAAAAAAGAACTAAGAGGCTATTATACACAAAGAAATCATTAATGACCTACCTTTTCTTCTCTTTACTTTTTGAAATTCGATTTTTCTACAACAAGCATGCATTGCTCTTTGTTTGGAAAATAACAAAGAGATAATGACTCTTGTCTTGACTGCTCCTGGGGTGTTGTGATTATGTCTAAAAAATTTAAGTAAGACCTCAACCTTAGGGAGAGGACCCCAAGCACAACTTCTCACCAGAGGCTTTTCCTGCACTACTAGGAATGAAGTAAGAAACCTCCATTCGGGGTTGCAGAAACCCAGCATATATCTTTTTATTGGGGGGAAGGGGTTGAAGGCTTGGGAACTACCATATTTCATCTAATTTGAGATGACATCAAATCTTAACCTCATTAACCTATTATTTTATGTTCCACTAAGAATAAAAGATAACCTTTGATTATACAATGACTCTCAGTTTCTGAGATGTTAAATCTGAAAAATGTTTATCTTGAAATCAGTGACACAGAACTGTCCCTGCACATCTCTTCCTCTTAGTTGGGTAGATCACCTAAGCAACGCCATTCACCTGATGCCTTCCTTTCCTTTAAAATTTCTCCTCAAGATCTACCTTTTCCACTCTTGCTGCCACCTGCCTCATCATCTCTCACCTGGACCAATGCACTAACTTGCTAACCAGCCTGCTCATCTTACCCTCCAATCCATTATTCATACTGTAGCCTTGAGTGATCATCTCACACCCCTGCTTAAACATTTCCACTGGCTGCTTTACCCTACAGCAGGGTGAGGTCTGTTTAACTTGGCATTTGGCTTCTCATGCCTGGCCTCTGCCTGCCGTTTTAGTCTCTTGGCACTTTCTCCAAATCAAAGTACTTGCTGCTTCCCCAAAGTACCATATGTTTTTTTCAGGCCTCCAGGCCTTTGCACCAGCTGTTTTCTATGCTTGGACTACTCTTCCTCAACAGGTACTTATTGAACATGAAGTAAATGCTGGGAGCTGAGAATAGGGGGCAAGCAAGGCAGGCGCGAGCCTTCCTAGAGGCTGGTGGAAAAGACAAAAATAGAAACATATGATTATTAATTATAAGCATTCAGGGTGGGCATAAAGGTTCTTTGAAAATGTCAACCATGGCCTCAGAAAATTTAGAATTCGAATTGGGCCAGGAAAGCAGTGTGAAGCGGATTAGAATTCGGGATCTACCAATGACTACCTATGTGACTTTGGGGAACTGACAAGCAGCCTCCACCTCTGTGAAGCGGAAAAATGCCCGCCCCATAGGATTTCTGGGAAGATTTAGTATGAGATACATATAATTACGAGGTTCTGCCAGACCCAAAGGCACCTCCCCTACAGGGTGCGAGGGTCTCGCAATCGTGGGGGCAGAGGCAGGGACAGGGACGCGGGCAGGGGAAGGGGGCGACGGACGCCGAGTGAGGGAGCGCAGCGCTCCGCCCCATCTCCCCACTTTGGGGGCCAGCCCCCTTGCTCGTTCCCGCCCCCGCCCTTGAATCACTGGGGGGCGGGGCGGGGCCATGACCCATTCATGCCGGGAATCGGATCCAGATGTTCCCGCGGCGCGTGCAGCTGCATCCTTGCCTTTTTTGGCAAAAAACGTGCGGCCGCGAGCGGATCCCGGGCCGCCTCCGCTAATCCTCGGGAAGAGGGGGAAGGGGACTGAGGGTCCGGGCCCATGCTCTGCGGGATTTGAGAAGGGTTGTTACTGGAGGGGGCGATTTGTACCAAATGAGAGCGCGCATCGACACCCCTGCTCCGGCTGGGAACCCCACCTCCCCAATCCCGCCCTTCTCCACGGGAAGAGAAAGCCCTTAGCCAGCAGGGGGGAGGCTGGTTAAACCCGAGAGGGACGGTAGCTGCGACAGGGATCCCCTTTCTCCCAAGAGATTTCCCACTCCATGGCCAGGCAGCTCCCCCCTTTGCCCTGCACGGGGGAGGTCTGGTGGAGCCTCTGTCTCTGGGTCTGTGAAGGAACCTTCCTTCCCTTTCCACCCCGAGACAAACACACAGAGGCCTGGGCTTCCTCACGCTGCTTTATTGCAGAATCTCGAAAGGGATGAGGCAATCCCACCCTGCTGCCCATCTCTGGGCAAAATGGAGCTGAAGTTAAATGATAAAACACTCGACGGGCAAAAACCTTGTACCCTAGGATCCCCTAACCAGTGAACCTCTGATTTGCTGCTCAAACAGCCCCAGCCCAGGAGTAGGATTGGGGTGGAGGGGGTCAAGCCTGAGTATAGTTCGCTTCTGAGGACTTCTCAGGCACCCATAAGAGACCTAAAGTCTCTACAGAGAAGTCTAGATTGAAGGAGGTGTGGATACCAGAGTCCAGGTTTGGAGGGCTGGGGTCTAGAGCCCTGATTTGGGCTTGTTCTGGGAACCCAGACTATAGGGGAGAGGCCTGAGTTCTGGAGTCCTGGCTTGGGAGGGGATTTGAATAGAGGCTCAGTAAGAGCCCAGGTTTGGGGCCCTGGGTCAGGGAGTACCAGTTTGGGGATGTTGGAGTGGGGAGGCTGAATCCTGGAGCCCAGGGAGAGCCCCAATTTGGGGAGGGGCTGGGTCCCAGAGATGGATTGGAAAAGGAGCCTTAGTCCTCGAGCCCTGGTTTGGGAGGGCCTGAGCCCAGGAGCCCTGGCTCAGGGCCCTGCTTGGCTGCAGCCCTGGCAAAGCACTTGGTCTCCATCCGGCACAAAGCCTTGACCCACCAGGGAGGTGGAGCAGCGGGCGCAGGCGAAGCAGCTGTGGTGCCAGTGGCGGTCTTCAAAGGACACGTACTTGCCTCCACCAAGTCCTGGAGGGAGGCTGGAGGTTAGCTCTGCAGACCTAGAGGGCAGTCCTGGCCCTCAGCCTCACCCAAACCCAGATTCCATTCCCTTGTCTGCACCCTACCCACTCAGTTCTTTGACCCTGGTCCCACCTGTGATCGGGCGCTTGCAGCTGCTGCACTTGGGTGCAAAGAGTTCTCCAAAACAGGCCACACAGTAGGGATCTTCATCCCGGGAGGTGAACTGCTGTCCTGCCAGAGGTGTCTGGCACCCAGTGCAGACCAGGCATTCTCGATGCCAGGGCTGGTCACGGTATGTCACACCGCCCTGTGTCAGTGTCTGTAGGGACGGCATCTGTCAGCAGGGGGAACTGGGGATTCCCACCCCACAACAGAGCCTTGCTCACCCCCGCCCATGTGTGCAGTAGGGATCAGCACCCCGACCCCACTGGTCCAGCTCCCACCTTGCTGCAACGGGCACAGCGAGGAGCAAACTTGTTCTCATAGCAGGGCACACAGTAGTGGGCGCCCTTGTCGGGAACGAAGGAACGAGAGCCTAGTGGCTGCTCACAGCCACTGCACAGGAAGCACTGCTCATGCCACGTTTGGCCTCCATACTCCAGCTTCCGGGACCCTGTGGGGAACAAGGGTCCCACTCAGAGGCTGTGTCCTGAGCTCCTGAGTGCCATCATCCTCTGCTACCCCGAGTCTCCACTGCTCCCATAGCCTGTGCAGGGTGGTGTCCATGCACATGCAGCAGGAGACCTACAACGTATATTGTACCTGCTAACCTCCTGCAAACATTGGACATGCTGGCTGAGCAGGTGTTAGGCCTCCCCATAAACTAGACATGAGGGTTTGGCATATGTGAAATTCCCATATGGACCAGATATGAGTATGTCAGCACACGCCAGGCCTCCATGTCACAGGCATGATGACTCAGTATACGCTAAGCCCTTATATACCAGACATGATGGTTTTAGCAGACACACAAAAACTCTACTTATGCTAGCCAGGCAAGTCTCTGCCCACACAAAGTTCTAATGTCCTGGACATGACAGGTTCAGTACGTGTTACCCCCTGTATAGCCTAATCATGCCATTCTCCACATATTCTAAATCCTCATATATATCTAATTAGGCATGCAGGTCACTACACATGTTAACCCCTCTCTTTATCTGTCTCCGCACGCTAAGCCCCAACGTACCAAGCATGACAGGCTCAGTGTACTCTTAGCTCCTTTGTGTACCAAATATGCAAGTCTTCATACATGCTAAGCCCACAGGTGTATATTGAGCCCACTGGGCTGGCACACGTTAAACCCTCAGGAATGTACCAAGCTTGTCAGTCCTGTACGTGATAAACTTTCATGTGTATACTTGGGCATGCCAGGTCCTGTGCATGATACGTTCCCAAGAGCATACAGGCAAGACAGATCCTGCATACACTAAATTCCTAGGAACATGTTGCATGTGCAGGTTCTTTACTATATATACCTCTATGTATGTATCAGATAGGCATGACAGTCCCTTGCACATGCAAGAACCCTACACAGATGCCAGGCATGCCAGTCCCACATACAATGAGCCCCCAGGGACGTACCCGGCATGACGGTCTCCCCACAGGCAGAGCACTGTGAGGAGAAGGCACTGCAGTAGCAGTCATTGCAGAGCAGCTCATTGTCCTGGCAGGTGAAGGGCTCATCTGCTAGGGAGCGCTGGCAGCGGCAGCACCGGAAGCAGCCCTCGTGGAAGTGGCGGTCTTCATAGAACAGTTCCTGCCGAGAGCACGGCAGAGGCACTGGCATCTTTGTCCCCTCCTGCCAGCCTCCACCCGCTCCCCCTGCCCTATCTGGTCCGGTCCTTACCCTTGAGTCATGCCCGATCAGCTGCTGGCACTCGGCGCACGTGTTGGCGAAGGTGTTGTCATAGCAGGGCACGCAGTAGGGGCCATTGTCCGTCTGAATATATTTGCGGCCATACAGGGACTCGCTGCATTTTGCACAGTCAAAGGTCTCGCTCATGATGACTATGAGTGAGCCCTGTTGGGGACACAAAGTACAGCAGGGTCACCCAGAGGGGCTCTGGCTTAGCCCTTCGCAAGAGCCCTTGGCATTAAAAAAAAGAGCAAAAGACCGGGCATAGAAAATGCCAGGTCAGAGTAGGTGACGATGGGGAAGGGGTGCTTCTGGGAAGCCAGCTATCCTGCATGTTTATTTCAGTATTTAATGGTGGAGGTAGAAGGGGGTCAGGAAAATCAGGAAGCAGAAGTTGTTTTCTTATCTGGGCCCTGGCAGATCTGGGGGGAGGGGGCTTTTCCTGGGTCAGTGACTCATTTCCTGCCACAGCCTGAGTTTAGCCTCCACTGTCCCTAGTGTCCCCAAAGGGGCAAGAGCATGGACAGAGAGCCACCCCACCTTATCCCATATAAACAGTACTCCCACCCTCTCCTGACTCCCAGGAAGGGACCCTTGGGGTATGAATAAAGGAACCCTTACCCAGAGGTCTGTAGTGGGGAGCTTAGGGATGGGAATGGGCTGTTCCTGCCTCCGTCCCCATCCAGGAAACAGTGGAATGTTAGAGAATGCTGGGCGGATGAATGGTGAAGGTGGAGGAGGCGATGTCATTGAGCCTTACCTCCCAGGAGAATTACCCAGCAACAAGGACTTCAGAGGCTCAGCCTAGGTTTAAGCAGGAAGGAAATCCTGCAAGCTGGATCCAGTCAAGCTTCCCCAGCTGGACCCTCTGCCCTCACCCTCTTCCACCCCCTGCTGGGTCTCTGGTCACACTAGCCTGGACCTCCTTGGCCTGCAACATCTGCAGCAGCTGTGGCAACCCAGATGGCCAGATGTCAGGTTTTGCCAGCAACAGGGGAGAGAAAAGGGAAATGAGATGCCTGGAGAAGGAGAGGGGAACTGGAGACAGAGATTATGCAGTGTGCATGCTTGCCACCTCCTGCTGGGGGGCATCACTCCTGGCAGCATCTGGCAAAGCCCAAGATCTTTCCATCCCCTGGGTCATAATTTCCCTCCTCCTGCCTCTGGGAGGGACAACCTTGCCCTAGCTTTTCTGATTTCTAAGGGTTTGGGGCAGGGGGAATGACGGGTGAGAGTGGGAGCCATTGAAGATTTTCTCCCCAATCAGGCCCCCTCTCGGATAGGGAGTCAGGCAAAGGGGAGCCCTGAGAGCTGTTGTTGCAGACACCCAGCCCCCCACCAAACCTCAGACACTTTCCATTTTCTCAGGAACAAAGCATGTTTGTGGGATGAGGTCATCCACACAGCTGCCTCTGGAACAGGAGTGTGGGGAGTTGGGGGGAGGCAAGGAAGTGGGGTTCCCGGTCCCTTCTGCCGCCCTTGATTCTAGTTTCTAGCCCCAGATTCAGAGCTCCCCACCTCCAACCTCCTCCACCATAAAGCCTGCTCTCCTAGGACTGGGATCCTGAGGTGGGAGGAGAGGAACCACCAGGACCTGTAGGAAGGGGGTGTTTTCACAGCTGCAGATGAACTTGGGGTGTACAAAGGAACCCACCAACCCACTCCCTCCACATTAGACCCCAGGAATGGGCACTCCCCAGGGTCTGCTCTGGCTCAAGCTGAAGGAAAAGCCCTCATTCTCTAAGCCACCCCCATCGGAAATTCTCGCCAACAAGCATTGCTCTGGCTTGGAGTTCAGAATCCAGGCGCCAGCAGATGCCCCAAGTGTGGAGGGCCTGGCTCTTCTAAAGCAATGGCTCCTGAGCGCATAGCTGCCCTTTTGTGTAATGGGAGGGCACTCAGTTCATACCCCAGGCCATGTTACGAGGCTACCAGGAGCTGGGGTCTTCAGAGCAGGGACTTATGTGGTAGGGACTATGTGTAGGGTGGAGGGTTAACTGCCCTTCTTGGTCTGCTCCCTGCCACTCGGCCTGGGTTTCCTTTGGCCCAACATCTGATGGCTGCCTGAGGTGTCAGCCACTGGGCAGCAGGGAGACACACAGGTGGAGTGTGGCCATGCCTATCCTGGAGCGCCCTGGGCCTTTTCCTTCCCTCCTTGCTTGGCCCGCAGCCGCCACCTTCCCAGGCCCGAGCTAGCCCTGGGCCCGCCCCCTGGGAGGCAGTCATCACTCTGAGACAGGGGCACCCCAAATAGGGTATGGGCATGGCTTCTGTTTCCTTCCCAGAATCCCCTAGTCTGTCCAGCTGGGCTCCAGTGAGGACAGAGTGAAGGGCACTATCAAGGCCCACCTGTCTCTGCCCATTCCCCTCCTCCTCCTTTCCCTGGCAGAGCTGGGGGACTGAGGAGCCAGTCTTGTGTTCTTCATGGCTGGTAGGGAAGGTGCAGGGGAGGCTGCTCAGTCTGCCAGATGGCTCTAAGCCCCTGCCCCCCTCCACACCCCTACACCTGACCAAGACACATACATCTGGCACCTCTCAGTGAACCTCCTAGAACTCAGAATGGCTGTGGCATGTGGTGGGTAGAGGCTCCAACTGTGAAATATAAACCCGGGTGATCTTGGGTAAGTCACTTAAGCTCTCGGAGCCTGTTTTCCCATCTAATACTACCTCCTACCTCCTAGGGTTGTTGTCAGGCTTAAATGTGATGATACTTAGAAAGCGCCTCGCAGTTAGTTAATCGGCAAATAGAGCCTATTAGTGTTTTTATTATTAGCCACTCCCTCATACTGAGGTCAGACAACAGGTTGCTGGCCAGCCCTGGGTCAGGGAGCTGGCTTGGAATTTGACCTAGACATTCTCAGTATAGGCTCAGGGAGAACAAAGATGGAACCCCTAGTTCTATTGGGGACAACAAAGAGGCCCAGGCCATGGGGCCAGCCTGACTCCAGTGAGCATAACTCTGAGATCCTTCACACAGGTACACAGATGTATGCACCTGCAAGCTGCTTTCCCTTTCACGAAATGCATTCGCACCCACCCCATCATCTCATCAGATCTCACAAAAGGCAGGACGGTGTGTCATCACCATTTTATAGCTGAGCAGAAGCCAGGAACAGGGTAGGAACATGCTCAGGGTCACTCAGGTATCAGAGCCCAGGAGCCCTTTCCTGTTTCTCCTTTCCTGGAAATGCTACAGTGATGGTGGAGAGGGTAGTAAGCATTTAAGAGCAGGGAACAGGAGATGCTGGGTGACATCAGTAGCACAGGAACCCGGCTCTTCTCCCAGCTGCCAGCCCTGAGACTGGAAGACACCCAAGAGCCTTCTCGAGTACCCATGCCAACAGCTCAACCCTTTTGCTCCCCTTCAGCTCCCACTGTCCAGGCCCCACAGCTGTGAGTCAGGATCAGAACAGACCCCTCCCCCAGCTCCCTGGAGCTGACAGGAGACTAAAGGGGAGAAATTGAACGACTCCAACCCCCACCCTCTGCTAGCAGAAACCAACCTTGAACTCTCCATTTTCCCCTCCCCCCATGGGGCCTGGAAGTCAGAGCATTTGGGGGTGGGGGGGGGGCGAGCAGGATCCAGCAGCTGCTCTGGGGACAAGAGAGGAACAGTTCATTCACCCTGGGTCCCCCAGGGCTGAAGTAGCCTGTCCAAGATCAGAGTTTAAAAATAAGTTGGGACTGTCTTGATGTATGCATGAGGGCTCTTTCTTGATCTCTCTTATTGTCTGAGGTCCCCTCCTCATGGGGGCTCAGTGGGTCCAGAGTTTGTGTTTTCCCATATCCTTGCTTTCCAGTCTTCCAGGCCTGAGTCTCTTAGGGTCTGTCTCGAAGCTGTCAGTGAATCTCCATTAAATCTGTCACTCGGTGTCTAGCTCTGTGCCACTCAGCATGTGCCTATGTCTCTGCACACTTCAGCAGCCGTATGTTGTGGGTGTCTCTGTATGTCTGCGGATTTCTACCTCTGAACACCCAAGTCTGGTCTCTTAGGGCCTCTATGGGGAGGGATGTCTTGGTCCCCACTCCACTCCAATTCTCTACCTCTTAGCATCTCTGCATGCCTGAGTGTCTCTCCAGTCTCTGAATGTATCCATAGGCCTCACAGAGGCTGATGCACCAGGAGGCTAAGGCAGCTTAGGCTTCTGGGAGCCTCACTTGCCCAAGACCCTCCAAGGCCCTGGGACGAGAGCTCTATGGCAGGGTCATTGTACACTTTTTCTTAAAACGCTCTACAAAATCTGGGTCTGTCCCTGTGCCTCAGGTCAGTCTCTCGGTGACTCTACGCCCAAGTCTCTGTCCCTGTTTCAGATAACTCTGCAGCCTCCTGTGTAAGCCTGTCGTTTGTGTCCGGGTCTCAGTCTGGGTCTCTCGCTCCACCTCGATTTCTGGGAGCCTCAGTTTCTCAGAACTCTCCATTTTTCTCTCCACTCTGGCTTTTCTATTTCAAACTTGGCCCCCTCCCCCGCCCAACTCTCG